TTTGTGGGATAATTCAATATTGGTGTGGTAGATCTGAGTTCTAATCCTAATCCTAATTCAAATCCAGATTGTAGAACCACTTGCTCAGCTTCTTTGGACTCATTGAAATTCTCATTACTACACCTTGTAGCAAGTATAATAGCTGTGTGAGCTAGTTTATGGTGATGATGGATATGATAAGGAATAACTATAATTTATTCATAAAATTTACTTTCCATGACACAGGTCAGCTTTAAAAGAGAAGGTATAAGAAAGGGGGCGCACAAAGAGAGTGTGATGAACCTCTTTCCCTTTCTTCCAAGCCATCGATATAAATATACATATATAGATAGAATCTATATCGATCTCTTTATATAACAAAATATTTATATCAATATAATTTTAAAATTGACACAGGCTGTACAGTCTTTCAATCAGAGGTCACCGGGTCAAACAAAGGGCCCTCTTTAGCAGTCTTTCAAATAGAGAACTACTTTCTAAACTTCTAAAGCAGGGGTAGGCAACCTTTCCCCTTTAAGGGCCGAGGGACTTCAGCTCCCAGAATCCCAGGAGCTATTGGCCAACATGGGACTATAGGCCAACATGGCTGAGGCTTCTGGGAGCTGAAGTCCCTCGGCCCTTAAAGGAGAAAGGTTGCCTACCCCTGCCTTAGGTAAAACCAGTGTTTCTGTTATTTGCAGGTTTTCCACATTCATGGGGGTCCTGTGCCCCTAACCCCAGCAAATGTGGAGGGATGAGTGTATTGTGAAGGTACAGTTCAGCACCCTGGAAAGCACCTAGTATGAATTAAAACCTGATGCAAATCCGCTTTTCTGTGGATGCAGAAGCCACCAGTCATCACTGCAGATAATGGTTAGAATACAGAATCATCAGTGTCATCATCAATGTGTAATTTTTTTCTTGTTTCTTTGGCCAAGCTACACTGCCCTTTTAATGTCTGAGTACCTTGTGCAGATTAAGAGAGCATAAATAGGTTCTGGCCAGTTTTCCAATTTCAAGGTAGCTGAGCAGCCAGTTTCCCTTTCTGATTCTGCCTTAGTCATATAGCAAGTGCTGTGGAAATTGCCAATCATTCAGCTATGTATTAATTGTTTGGCAGATATTGTACATCTTAAAAGCAGAATCTGAAAATAGTGAGGACAGGACTCATCTTGATTTCCTTGGGGACTGTACTTAGAGATTAGTAACAGCCATGGGGAAATAGCTTGTTCTTGTTTTTTTTTTCTCTCTTCTGCCTAGGCTTTTAATACTGAAAGAACACTGGTTTTGTATTTTTGTGTTATCAGTTATGCATCTGAAATCCAAGTTCATGGCCCAAGAAGACACAGCCTGGGTGGGTGACCCAGTCAGCACCGTGGCAGCTGCTCAGGATAATCCAAGACCACACCTTCATTTTGTACCTCTG